ACATACGGGTGCCCGCAGACGAAGACTACTGCACCAGTGCAGCTAGACTTACTTACATAATAATATATAATTATATTATAAAATATTAATTATAATAATATAATATATTAGGCACCATTAATCATTATTAATATCAATTGTATTACTGCAGAACTCAGAAAGTATACATAATAATATAAATATTAAAATATCTATATAGGTAGGTACTTTCGAGTTAATATTTTAGAATCCAGTAAAAAACTAAGTAAAACTAAGAAAAAAAAAGAAGGCATAGCACATGACCTAGGCTATAGGTCTAATAAATGGACCAAATTAATAATTTTTAATAATATTATTATAAACGCGCCATGGAAACGGCAATATAAATATTATAAACTATTAAAATAAATAATAATTTATAATATTTATATGATAATTTATAAAAACTAATAATATACCAACAAAAATACTATGTCAACTCCATGTAAAAAAAATGTAATTTAATTTAATTCTTCTTTTTGCGCACGGAGTAAACAATTACCCCAGACGTATTAATACAGTATATTAATAATTTAATATGATAATTTATAAAAGACTAATGAACTTTAACGTAGCATAGTTATTTTTTATTTAAGGATAACTTAACTTTAACTAGTTAAAAAAATTGGTTAACTTGCCTAGCTTTGCCATCATCCACATGATGTTATAATAAATAATAATATCTTATAAGTTATAATATTATATTTAATATTGATCGCATTGTATGATAGAAGGATAGAACAAATTTACATAATATACACGATATTTATTATTTTCTACCATAAGCATTATAAATTATATTATTCATAGCTTTTAAACAGAAATTCAATTATAGCCTATAGGTTTATTTTAAATGCGTAGAACTGTTTAAATGTTAGATATTAATGTTATAATTTTTCGACTTCCGTTTCGGATATCATGTTATTTCTTAAGATTTCGTCTTAAGTTTCAAAAAACGGTATTATTTTTTCCGATTTCGATTTCGGTTTCAGATATCGGTATTTATGTTTTCCGATTTCGGTTTCGGTTTTGGATATCGGTATTTATGTTTTCCGATTTCGGTTTCGGTTTCGGATACCGGTATTTATTTTTTCCGATTTCGGTTTCGGTTTTGGAAACCGGTATTGATTTTTTCCGGTTTCGGTTTCAGATACCGGTATCAATTTTTTCCGATTTCGGTTTCGGTTTTTAACGGTTTAAACCGGTATTCAAAACCGGTATCGAAAATCGGTTTCAAGCCCTGCTAATTTTTTTAAAGGTATACTCATAAATCCAAAAATAGGGATCCGCGGGTATACGACATATTATACCCACGTATACCCACGTATACCATCCAATACACCACTGACTGTTCTTAACATTCTTTGCAATCAGCTGAATTTTTACAATAACCAATGTAATTATTTTAATTTAGATGGATATGTCGATGTAGATTGTGTGCTAGAAAAAGTTAAAAAAATAGGTAAGTATACATTTGTTTTTTATAATATTGTAATTAAATATTGAATCATATACATTATACACTGTGCAAATAAGATGATGAAATATTTTAAATACTACCTAAGTATAATTAGTGTCGTAGATTAGCAACTAGTATTCATCTCAGACTTTTCAACACTAAATCGACCCCAAACTCATTTATTTAATTTTAACTTTAAGAGGAGGTTTATCCCTCACACCTCCTTGTCTTTCAAAAATACATTTATTTAAACTTATCCCTCGTTAAAATAATGTCGATATATTATTTTATTAGCAAACAGTTATAGTGCAGGAGGGTTTGTACCAGCTGTCGAGGCTCTACTAGGTGGTCATCATGGGTTTTTATCTCTATGTCGTTGGCCAGTTATTTAATGGGACGCTTTATTTTAGAATACATGGAATATAATTTGTGCATATTTAATATGCAAGGAGTGTACCAAGGGGGTATCACTGAATATAATATTGTTCCCGTAGATATTTGGTCTTCATATTCGTTGTATGCGCAGTTGTTTTGCCGGATCATATTTTGTGATATCTCGTTGGCTGGTTCATTGACCTCGTTTCCTGTACCCAAGAATCACTGTGTTTGCCGCTGGACCACTGCAGATTAATTATAGTTGACTTGTCGGGATTTTTGAAGTTATTGACCGAAGATCGTCCCATTCTTGAAAGCACTTCTTTGCTTACCCAGTTGTGTGGGTGTATCGGCGAATCAACAGGGGGAACTTCCAAGTTCACATGCGTGGGTTATAATAAAATTAAAATAAAATACATACAAATAATAGAGAAAAAAAAAATATTATATTTATACTTGATAGGAATTAAAAATTTGATAATTTATTAAACAATAATTTTAACTTAATTAAACTTAAAAGAATCTAAAAATAGCAATTTAAAGAATTTAGAATCATATTGAACAGATCCAAGTTATTGAAAAAGTTTCCACATGACATTAATATAATAGCAAGGTAGTATGACATGTAGTTAGTTTTAATAATATTGATAAATAAAAATGATGTTTATTTCTTGAATTATTTATATTTACTTTGAAGTTAATACGTTCTAAGATTTCTGGACAATCAATAAAATTATGTAGTAAATAGCTTATAAATAAATTTTAAATTTAACATTTTAAATCTACTGTTTAAGGGAGCAATATTAAAAAAAAATACTAATACGAATATACCCTAAACGAGGACGTCTTTCAAAATGACATTTAAAAGATAAATATCTCAACAAATTATTTTGTATACTAGATAGACTCTGGTTTTGACAAATACTATATGAGTGCCAAATTGAAGAGGAATAGTCAATATGGGAGAGTACTATGGAATAATATGATATTTTTAAAGCTGAACTAGCGCTGAAATCGCTACACGTACGTTTTAATAATATCCCAGCTTCATAAAAGCTTTATTACGAATAAAATCCACATGATTGCTAAAAGATAATTTTGTGTCAAATAAAACTCCTAGGTCTTTAATAATAAATTTACGTGTTAGATTTGTATTATGTAAAACATAATTAAAAAAGATAGTATTTTTTTTTTTAAGAGTATGATATAACGGAGCATTTATCGACATTTAAGAAAAATCCATTATTGATGCACCATATAATGACACCACATATATAAATTATCTAAGTCGGCTTGAAGTTCCAATAAATCATCAATACTCTTGATTTTTTTTTTAAACATTTTAGTGTCATCAGCAAATAATAAATATTTTGAGCAATTTAGAACTTAATTGATAACGTTAATGAAAATGAAAAAAGTAATGGAGATATAAGGATATAAGTGATCTCCTTGGGGAAATGACATGTTATCATTCTCAGAGTATTAGATTACAGTTCTAAAATGATCAATGTTTAGTGGATGTCTACTTGACTTCAATTTCTTTTTCTTCAGTCATGAAGTTATGATGAAATATTTTGTCTAGTTTGAAAATAGTTGAACATTTGTTTTGTGCTTTACATTATTGGCCTATTCTCTATATACCAGGCTATGAAAGTTTGTTTGAGATAGCCAGTCGCCAGATAATCTTTAAGTATTTTCTACTAGGTATGTTGTCGCTTATTGATCGTTTTCATACTTCTATAATCTCTTTTTTGGTGTTTCACATGATAAAAGCATGAAACCTTTGCTAACTTACGAATATAAATTGTGGACTGTATGGATCTTTTAACTACAAGAATATATACTTGATTTATTGCGTAAAATATTTCTCTTTATTTACTCGGATATTGGCAGATATTGATATTAGATTACTTATGCTATTATATTACATAGCACTCCTTATTATTGTGAGCAATAATACGCTACAAAATCCCGTTTAAAAAAATGTAGATAAAATATACGCTTCAACACGCTGAAACCCTTGGAACATTAAAATAATTTTCAACATAAACTTTTAATAAATATTAAATCTTATAGCACATCAAAAAATATTAGTATTAGGTATAAATTATAAAACAAATTACAAAATTAAGAATTATGATAAAATAAGAAAATTAATTTCAAATAAATTACATTAGTAATTTATTATACAGGATGATTCTTTTATCATAAAACACTACTCATTATTTCAAAAAGTATTAATGTTTTTGAAAATATTTTTTTACATAGTTTCAAGTTGTTAAAAAACAATATTAAAAAAACATTAATAAAAAATTATATTTTTAATCATTAGATATAATTTTTGAATTTTGAATTTTTTTGAATGACAACAGAGTTTTGATTTCATATTCCAAAGCAGAATATTTTTCTAAGTATTTTGATAAAAATCGAATTTAGGGCTAGTAGTTGATGAGTTATATGTATTTAAAGTTTTGATTGGCGGAGTGTAGTGGTACGGAGTTACCCAGCAAAATGTTTGACCACTTCTCTGCTTGACTAAATTTTAAATACTAATTATAACTCATAAACTACTAGTCCTAAATTCGATTTTTATGTATCAAATACTTAGAAAAATATTCTGCTTTGGAATATGAAATTAAAACTCTATGTTGTCATTCAAAAAGTAAAAAACTTAAAAAATATTTAAAAATATGATTTTTTAATAAAGAAGTTGTTTTTTAACAAAATATTTTTAAAAATATTTATACTTTTTGAAATAATTAGTGTTTCATGATAAAAGAATCACCTTGTATAGAACAGATACATTTTTTTACGATTATAATTAGAGAAATAAAAAATGTGTTTATTTTATTGAATTCTGAATATTACCTTCGAAAGGAAGAGGACATCATTTTCTCACAGACCTTTTTACTTCTTTCCCACGGTTCAAAACTGTTGACACCCGAAAGGGAACGTCAGCTCCAGCATGCGCACGTACTACGCGACCAAGAGACCATAACAAATGAGTTATGTTATCCTCCTTAATTAGCACTAAAGTATCAATGCTTAAATTTGGAACTTTATTTGACAACCATTTTTTTTTTTTGGTCTGGAGTTGGGTTATGTATTCGTCATTCCAACGTAAGTCGAGTCACGAGCTGCCATCTTTTCAAGCGGTTACCAGGAACAGTCGATAATTTAGGATAGCTTCTATCTTAATTAAAATGTTATTGAAAATTAATTTTCCCAATTGTTTGGATTCTTCAGTTATCACTGATAATTCGTATAAACCTCTAGTATGTGATTGAATAAGCACTTTTTTATTATTATACCTGCCAATCAAACTTTCCCAAGCGATAATATAATTGGCTCTATGCTTATATGCCTTGTATGACTTGAGCCGCTTCACCCGATAACATAATGATGCGCTCAAATGGAAAACTCTTTGAATATCGCTAATTCGATCGTTTTGTGTAATACCTGAAAATGTCTGTAGACTTATTGCCGCTAGTTGTATTGGCGCATTAGAATTATTATTACAACAAAATCCACTACCACAACTTCCCATCAGTTGTGGGAACGGAACAAGCATGTCACACCCATAACGTCGACTTTACCTTGATTTTTGATTTGCTAATTTCTTCTTAAGTAACAATTCGATTGCACTTTGGACTTTCTCAAATTCTTGCCAAACATCCTCGGTCTTTTCTCGACAGCACTTCAACTCTGTCTGATTTATTTCTTTATTTTTGTCAACATTTTCCAGATGATTTATAGATCTTGTTAGCTGGGCTTTAAATTGGCCTTTACGGATTTTAAATACACCTAACTATCAGGCATGTCCCTCTAATTCATATTTATATTATTTTTTATTTTTTTTTTAATTAAATAATAAAAAAAAAACTAATAGTTTATTTTAAGAAGGAGTTGATTTATAATAATATGGACGCGAATTACCACAATTATCCTTTTTTGAAGTTGGATTTCATGCTACGATGGTAATTACTATGTCCAATATTCTTCTCCGTTCGACAACCTCACCGTTATTTTGCTTCACTACTGGATTAACGGATGATTATTAATTTGAGTATTTTCAAGCACGCACTTATTTTACACACGTTTTAAATTTGATACTATGTGAATTTTAATTTATACTGCCATTCACAAGTATTAACGATTCCTTATATCCTGATCTAAGGATCAATGTTGACTATTATCAATTTAAATTGTGAATTGTATTGATCTTTTAACTATAGATATGTATAAATACTTGATTCATTGCGTAAAATATTTCTCTTTATTTATGCAACGATTGGCAGTCGAACGCATACTGACATTAGATTACTTATACTATTATATTACATATCACTCCTCATTATTTCGAGCGATAATACGTGACAAAATCCGGTTTACAAATTGTAGATAAAAATATATACTATTTGTCAACAACCTTCGAGACGTGTTTGCAACACAGTGGATCTTAATCTTAATTTTACAACAACATTATGATCTTTGAAAATGATCGTTCAGGTGTGGTATTTGATACGGAAAAGCTTACACTAATTTTTAATAGAACAAACAAGTTTGGAAACATACTTACAATTTCAAAAATATTATTCTAAGAAAATTAAAATCTTAATGATTATAGTTAGTTACCTACTAACTCACAATTGATAATATTCTAATTTCTAAGTTCACCCATCACCCCTTAATGATAGTTTTGGTCAATTCCAAGCATAAGCCCCTTGTTTGGATCGACTTCTGTTGGTAACATATACCTATACATTTTTTATTTATAGGACTCTATTCGAATATACAATAATGAACGCTGTGCAAATATGATAATTATATAGGTTATTCAAATTTAAAATACACAATTATAATATCATTCAAAATGTATCGTTATATGATAATATAACTATACGTTTAGATTTTTTGCATCAGTGCTAATCGACATCAAATAATTATTTTAAATGCGCAATTTTATAAAGAAAATAATCGATAGACCATACACCATAAAACATTATATTATATAATATTATATTCATGTTGTATTGCTTGTATAAATTGCTTAGATATTCATGAAAGAAACCTCGGAAGTAAGTACCTATCTAATTGTTGTCGATGTTTTATGATGATTGAAAATATTGTTTTTCCATAAAATAAATGTTTAACTTATAAAACGTTTATACCTAATTCATGTATAATATTTATTACTATATTCATCTAAATAAAAAGTAACAATAAATATCTACCCGAGGTCAATGCATATTATTACAGGTTTTGTGATTGAGTATTTGACTAGACGTCTATATTTAAATGGTAATAATTATTAAACTGCTGGTTGCATTACAGAAATCTGACACATAATATTATATTTTATATTTAATTAAAATATTCCTAAATATTAATAATATTGGTTCTACAATTATATCCAATATAAAAAAACTGATTTAAGTCAAACTGTTTTTATTTTATAGCTTTTTACACCCCAGCTGAACATTGTGCAAGTCTTCCGGTCAATATGTAAAAGTCGATTAAGCTACATTTATGATTTAAATAATACGTATACATTTTTATTTTTTATTATATACTTTTAATTTACCTTTGTCTATATCAAACTGATATTATTTATATTAAATATATTTATCTATAATAATAATCCTTGTTAGATATACTGTAAACATCGTTTTTTCTATATTATATAATTATGCATTCATACAATTCCGTCAACATAGTACATATTTTTTTTTATTATTAATAAGTATGAACGTGTCATTAACATATTTCGTATCTAGTACATTAAATTTCACAATATTGGTCTTTGTTGGTGTCGGCGTAAGACATACATTTCCGATTTGGATGTTGACGGTTTAAAATAAAATATAAATTAACTAATATATACTAAGTACTTAGTGCAGATAAAATTACATTCAAAATCGCGATACGAGTACACAACAACCAACAATGTAGACACCCAGTTAAATATTATCAAATAATTTGTAATCTAAGTACATGGGTTCGAGGATTTGCCCCCGAAAACTATCCCGGTATGACGGTAGGCGAATCCACCGTTAGAAGCATTAATAACTACGAATGATGAATGTATGTATCAATCACAGTCAATCTTGACTATTTAAACAACTGAAATAGAAATTGAATTTGTAAATACTTGCTAATCATTATCTATTGTTTGATATCTATTTGGGAGTCTTTGGATAACTTCGGTGGTCTAACTTCAAAGCTTGTAGCGGTCGTTCGGGTAACTTGCAAATTCTAAAAATCGACTTAAGAATACTTGCAAATAACTTGCAAGATAATGGCATAGATTTTAAAAAAATTGCAGTATTTATTTGGGCCAAATTCAAGAACGTGATGATTCCGTTGTGGCCGCAGAAATTAGCACCGTTGGAGGAAGAATCGATGAAAAACGGCCTATGAACAATTTAGGCAAAGGCGGTGGTGGAAATACAAAGCCACCATCACACAATACGGGGGGGTACAGATGAATAAAATTCCAGGCCTACAAAAGATTGCTTTGTTGTGTAACGGTCGAAAATTTAACAATTAATGCAATAATGTCTATCAGAACACTTGACAATAATATTAAATTGCTCTGTGACTATAGTGATTCGTGGACTGTATACAAGATATGATTAAGTTCAATAAGATTATTGTAATGTTATTAAAATATGTATTCTAATTATAATTTAAATAAATTTATTTGCATGATAAAGTAAAATTTACTTTATCATATTTTATAATTTTATATAGATAGGTTTTTAGTAGTTATATAATATGCAATAAATGTTTTAAAACTCATATACCTAATTGTTCATTTACATTAAGCAATTACACAGTTCCAGCTGTTAGTATAGTTATCGTCATAGTGATAAAGTGACCATTTGGTTACAATTCGTAAATTTAAATTTTGACCTGAATAAATTAATTTTCCTATAGGAAAAGATACTGAAGTTGAAAATCAAAGCATTGTATACACAGACACAAACAAATAAGAAATAAAAAATTGTTGACAATGATATTAGGAAACATTTATATGACTTTATTCCACGATCCTTCGGAAAATAAATACAATGTTATAATAAATATCATAGCTGTAAATAAAATAAAATACGATTATTTATTCTAGTAGGTAGATTAATTATTGTATTTTTTTAATGGGCTGTTGATTTTGTTATATATAATTATAATATTTGTATACTTAGATAAAACATGGGATATCCAAGAGCCATATTTAATGTGCACACACTACACATGCAACACATAAAACATAATATTAAATACCTCTCTGATCAGTAGTAAAAACATTTAAACAACACAATCAATTATAAGCGGCGCCAGACGAAAATCACATTATAAAATCATGAACGCATTGTAATTCATATAATTTATACTTCAAGATCCCTCTGATCAGATGTTCATTAAAAATAATACAATAAATTAAACACAGCGGCACCTTTGTCAAACCGCACAAAAATTAAAATCATAAACACATAAATATTTTAACGTTACTTTCAATCGATATACACCGACAAGGAATTGATTACACCGAAATCGTTCTATAAAGAATGTGACAAAATTGACACCCTCTCGCCAGCTCACCAGTCTGTCAAGAGAAGCCAATCTCTCAACAAAAGCTTCAAGACAAATCGTTCACGCTATTATGCACTTCGACAAAATTTTTACTTAAATTTACTAAACACTAAATATTGAAGGTAAATACTTTTAAAAATGAAGTTAACTTACATTGTACTCAATTAATGAATCATATTTTACGATTAGTATAAGAATACTAAATATATTTCTACAAATCTATCAAACAAACTATGTATGCATTAGAGAGCGTACGATGGGCGCCACTTTGTAGTACCTAATGATAATCTTATAAATTGCAAAACGCTAAAACTATACTGCATTGACTTCGTACTTTACAAGTCAATGATCCATAATACACAAAAGGCAATCTTGCTGGCACTGCTGAATTACGGTGAGGTAAAACGGCATATGATTATCGATTTAGTGTCGTTCCTATGTATGACCTCTTCGACTCATAGATAGTGTATACTCTATACTCCGCACCACGAGAGAAGGAACCCGTTTAGTGCAAGCCGACTGCAGGCATTCCCCCCCCCAATTTGTGCCATTTAGTGTATGTCAAATACGTCACGATGCGGGTCAAATTTCAAAGGATTGCAAGAAAATGATAATACAATGTCAATGGTCGAATGAAGACTTTTATTAAATAAAATACACCACAGAGGTCCGTAAATAGTCGCTGTAGTCGATATAGAGAACCCGTTCGCCGTACCGCTTATCAAAATATTTTGTCATTACATCAAAATTTGATTCTTGGATCCTACCTATTGTAGTAGAATAAAAATATAATGGATACGGCAGTACGGGTTAGAATTTATTTTTGCAAGGGATATGTTGGAAAAACCTGAAAGGTGGGCTTACTCCTTTTGCCCAAAAACGACCTTCCTCTTTCCGCCCAAGTCCACTTTTCAAACAAATATGAAAAAAAAAAATTTTCCTCTTTTTGCCTAGAGTTTAATGTTCAACATTTTGAAA